ACGAATCGTTTAACAAGATCGATGTTTCATGGACAACATACACAACTTTTTTCTCTTATCAATCATTTCTTTTTGCAGAACATACAATACTCAATCCCATTGATAAAATATTCCTTCCTCAGAATGTTTTACTTGAATGGTAAAAAGAGAATATATAAAAACAATATTTTCTCTTTCATTTCTAACATTTACTCGTTACAACATATTTTTCGCAAATATTTCTCAAATTACCAATAACTTCTAATCAAACATGGAACAGTAACGTGTTTTAAGGACAAAAGTCTTTTACACGATCAAATTAAACATGAGACAATGTTAGTGTTGAAGAACATTGTTCAATATTATCTTGACTTTCACCCTAAAAAAGTGTCGGATGGCAAGTAACTGATCATTTATAGTAATCCGACTGTAATTAACATTTTATTTAAACATGATATTGACAAATAGTATGATTTGATCGATCAGAATCATAGACAAGTTGTTATAAGTGTGAATTTTCTGGTTTGTTTACAAGAGAAAAAATGTTTTTAGATGAAAAAGAACTGATTATGATGAGATTATATAATTCTAAAAACAAAGTCAAACGATCAAAGTCTTTCAGCGATGTTCCTTATTAACTCTTAGTAAACTGTCCACTGACAGAACAATTCTTTCAAATGCAGATCGGAATCTGGAGCAGCATGCAATCAGCGAAGAGTTTAACGGGAGAAGTCTAAGAGCTTGTTTTGACATGAAAACTGGTCAAATATCGCTTTTAGCCAAGGTTCTGAATGGTTTTTGAAAACGTTTCTGTGAAGTATAATGAAAGTAATATTTAAAAATTATGTTTTTCTTTTTTCATTTTTAGCTTAAAAGTTTCCAAATAAATGAGTGAGAATTAAAGGCATACGTTGGAGAAATGAAATAGTTGTCTAAAAGAGGTTAAAAATATCGATTCTGATGCCATAATTTTAACATGAATCTTTGATATCGAGGTTGAGTTACTCAGTCAAATTCCACGTTTAACTTTTGCGCCCTACAGGTCACGCATAACCAGCCCTAGCCTCTCCTGTCCTGGCAGGTTAGGACAGGTTTAGCTTACGAAACTTTTTCCAGGATAGGTTAGATTGAGTAAATGTACTTTTGATTACCAAAAAAAGATACTTTTGATCAGCAAACAGCTTTAGATATAAATGATCACCAAATTTTTCAGCATGCATTTCACATTTTTATTTTTCAATAAAGTACAATGTACAACACAAACATATTCATTGAGATTTTCACCAAACGAACAATATTTTTACAGTTTTCTTTATATCCATTTAAAAAATTTAAAGCTGTGCTAACTTTCTTGAGATGCCCTTTTGCTTTTCGTTTGCCTAATGGTTAAACACGTGTTTTATCGCTAACTTGATACAAGTTAAATAAAATTGCTAATCCAACAGAATGTTTATACGAATATACTAATAATAGTACACCAAGCGAACAGAATTGTTGCCACACCAGAAAACCATTGAAAATAACCCACCGACGAGAAGGATAAATATCTAGCCAATAATACATTCAATAGTTTTCTAGTGTGGCAAGAATGCTGTTCGCTTGTTGTACTATTATTAGTATATTCGTGTAAACATTCTGTTGGATTAGCAATCTTTTTTACCTGTATCAAGTTAGCGATAAAACACGTATTTAACCATTAGACAAACGAAAAGCAAAAGGGCGTCTCAAGAATTGAATTGAATTGAGTCCCAAGAAGAACAGCTTTAAATTTTTTAAATGGATACTCATTCTGTTTAAACTCATATTTTGCTGACTGATAGGGCACATTAGTGTAACAAAAAGCCTAAAGGATTTGGGCCCATGCGGCTCTCTTCTCGAGTTACGATTGACTTAGTGAAATTTCCGTTTTTGGTATTTTCACTGTCACTATTCCAATGGGTTAAAGAGCTGAAACTCGCAGCAATGTTAGTCCTAAGCAAAGCCCGTATGCTGCAAATTTTCTGACCTTAGTCTTATGTCCTTTGTGAGAAATCTGATTATCTGTTTTTCATAGGATTTCTGCACCGCCTTGCGACCTGAATATGAAATAATTGTCTTTTTCGTTTTCAAGTTTGCTTTGATATTGATAAATTGATAAAACCATCTATTATCTCGATTAGAGTACTTTTCAAGTGTTTGCGCTATTGCATTACACGGTTGGATTTTTTCCATATTCAGGTCGTAGGGTGGCGCAGAAACCCTATGAAAAGCAGAAAATTAGATTTCTCACAAAGGACATAAGACTAAAGTCAGAACATTTTGCAGTCTACGGACTTTGCTTCAGCAAAATATGAGCTTAAACAGAGTGGGACATTTGGCGAGGGTCCTTCGTTGGCGATAATAAATATGCTCATAGTACAAGTACAAAGTATTTGTTGAAAGTACAAGTACTTTTACTTTGTACTTGAAAACTACAGAAAGTACAAGTACAAGTATCCATGTTTTGCATTCTAGCTAAGTAAACATAATTCAATGTTTACCGATGACCTTTAGAAAACAAGATAGGCTTCAAACATATCTCTAAAGAACACTAGAGAATGGAAGTTAAAAACGGCAGCGTCGGCAAAATTAGCATGAGTTAAACAGTGCAGAATTTGATAAGGTCGCATTTTGTAGCTTGAATGTGTGCTCTACTAGATGATATAGTTAACTAAAGTCTAAAGTGTAGTCTCGAACCATACGATTGTCTTAAAAAAGCAAGTTTTTCCAGAGAAGTTTATTTTACTATTCTGTGTTATCTCAAAGTTTTCCTTCCTGGATCTAGAAGTGGTAGGTCAGTAATCAGTAGAGACTTGCACGGATTAAGGAAACATAACGCAACTCCGACCCGATCCGACAACCTTGTGTACACAGAAACCAATCAATACTCGGCTTTGTGGATGCAATTGTTTTAAAATAAATATGTCAACTGACAACTCTAGCAGAGATCCTTTTCAAATCAAAGAGTAAGACAAAATTAAAATTATTATTTAACGGGTGGGCCATAAAGAATTGCGCTGTTATATTTTCAAACTTTCTCCTTCTCCTTACACTTGACTGAGCTAGCTTTTGTATCAAAAAGATTCCCCGTTGAATTCTCTACAAAAAATATATTAACTATTTCATTGCAAAATCCAAAGGTGCAAAATACCATGAGAAAATGTGAGACGTACAAAAATGTAGAAGAAATAAACGTATTTTCTCAAAGAGAGCGAAATTTTTTGAATGTTTTCACAAGCATTAAAACAAGGTTTCGGTATATTTTTGTGTAGTTTCAAAGACGCTCTTTCTCGTCTAGTAGAGCAAAAATCGTTTGAATCTAAATATCCGACGCAAAGATTAACTTCTCAACAATCGAGTGAAAATAGCAAAAGTTGTTACTTTCTTTTTGCGCGATGAAACAAAATAACTTTTTTCTCCAAATTTTAGAGATTCGATCATAACGACTAATCATTTGTTTTCAAAATTAAAAAAAATCAATCTGAACGGATCAGGTTTGACTAAGCTCTATTTGTCTTATTGAAAGGCTCATATTATTGGCAGAAAATAATGAAATTCTTGCGCCCTCAATTCTACCTAGAAATTATTCAAATTATAGATGGAGAATAGAGCTTTTCGAGGCATACACGGTGGCTACTTCAGCTTTCCTCTCTCACAAACTTTGAACAGATAATCCTAAAAAAAACGTGTAACTACGTTAATCTTTCTTGCGTTGTTTCGTTTCTCACATTTTCTCATGGCATTTTGCACCTTCGGATTTTACAATAAAATAGTAAATACATTTTTGTAGAGAATTCGACGGGGAATGTCTTAGTAAAAAAAGCTAGCTCAATCAAGTGTAAGGAAGACAAGAAAATTTGAAAATACTAACAGCGTAATGCTTTATAGGCCACCCTTTATATTTTGAATTGCATCATACGGCACGGCACGTGAAGTAGGAATTCGCAACCTGAATTTTGACAAAATTATCAAAATTTCCGCCAGAATTTCGGCAATTGTCGAAATTCTGGGGAAATGCCGACAGTAAAAGTTATATAACCCCGATGGTCGTACTTTTTATTTCTACTCTAGCATTACTACTTGTAGAATTGCTAGTAGAGTAATAATTATTATTGTTGAAATTCTTTCAGAATCTCGACAACTGCTGAAATTCCAGTTTCAACCCAATTCTTTCCAACATCCTCTCATTTAAAAAAGCGCAAATAAATGAAGTATAGTCATGTGTTTTGTGCGCACGGCTATTCCCAACATGAGAAAGCTTCGCTATCGAACACCTTGAAGCACAATAACACATTGTAGGACTTTCATATTTTCTCCAGATTTGACTACCTCAGTCTAAAAAACAAACTTATATGTGTAATATGTCATCTATTGATCAAACAGACAGTAAATGATGCGTACTAATGTGTAATTATAAAATGATAGTGATCTTTGTTAAGTCAAACTATGTATGGTTTCTTCCTGTCGAACTTGACTAATGACTTTGTTTTTGTCTATGCTCGCCCGTCACAAGCCTCGTTTCGATTATTAGCTGTTGGGAATATTCATGAAGAGTTATTGGTTAGAAGAACTGTTTCCTTTCTGTTCGACAGGGATATGTTTTACCTTTCTATGAATGACTCATTTGATTGACATTTTTATTACGCAACTAATGTGTGAGTCTATAAAACCATTCAGAAAAGCTGCACATTGATGTGCACGGATGATATAAATGCTGTTTCAAAAGTGAGAGGTAAAACAAACTCGTGCAGTGAAGATAAAGTGTAACCAAACCACAAAGTTTCGAAGTGCACCTGCATTAAAACACATCCATCGGTAAGTAGTGCTTAACTTACCTTCATGAAGATGAATAATGAGTGTTGATTCAAGCTAGAAAAAATATCGCAATGAGATCTTGGTACGTTCAATCACCACTCTCTGTTCGTTTTCCAACATTTGTGAGCGAGCTTATCCTTCGCAATTGATAGAAACGTCTAAACTTTAGATTTGAAAACCACTAAAATATGCAAACATATCAGTCATCTCGTGGACATGCTCACCGGCAACCAACTCCAAGTTACCATCAAGAATTACACTATCCACCTCACTATTCTCAAGAACGTGGGTACGTGGGACCGAACCCACATTATTACTATCCACCTCAGCATGATTATGCCGTTCAAACATCAGGAGAATCATACATCTGGGCTGGAGCATCGAAAGCAGGCCAACTAGCTGATTTTTTATTACGAATTGGAAGTAATGGTCTGCAAGCTGCATCGGCTTTATGCAGCATTTTGGGCTAATGAACTAACGCATTTAATGAAGGAACTAGAGGTCATACCCTCTCAGTATTCGATAAGAGACTCTGAACAAGACCGGTTCATTCGAAAGAGGCATGGTTTCAAATAATCTGATGAAAAGCGTACCAGCTTCACATCGGGTATCGCTAAATTTTGCTGATATCCTCGGGATTAATACGTGCATCTAACCATTCTGGAAACATGAGCGTGAGAAAAAAGATTTATTTTTTAGGAAACTTTTACTGGAATATATAATCTTGATATCAAATAAAATGTCTGAAAATTCAGTTAAAGCTCATTCATAGGCAATGATTGTTTTAGTATGAAAAGTTTCTCGAACAGCCGTTCCGTAGAAGGCAGAGGTGACTGCGTTCTATACATACGCTTATCTACATCCTTGTAATAACGAATGGGTTACAATAACGTCTCATTCAGTATTCCTTATTGTTTTCGTGTTCCTCTGATAGTTCTTTTTCGTAAAATCGATCGAACGAAAAAGCATATGCAACATAAAATTTCCTTCATGTGATCTATAGATGCCGTACGGCATTCATGAAGTTAAACGTGGTTTTCTATGTCGACTTTTTGAGAGAATTGTTCAAGCATCGAAAAGTGCCAGAATATTCGAACGTTTCTTGCCGTGCACTGTAGAATCAGGTCATATAACAATAAGATTAACTTCTTTAAAGTAAATCAAAAGCAGCTAAAATATGGTTGTTTGGGCTCATTGTGTGCGAAAAGAATCGTTATTCAAACTTTTGTTGTAGAATATCAACGATCTATCATTTCTTTTCAAAATACATATATCACTAACTAAAAATAATAAAAGCTTTAGTGCAATTGTGACTGAAAAACCCTTCATCGCGACAATCAGTATTCTTTCATAGTATCAGCATGGTCGCTTGACTTATATCATCGTCATCTAACAAACTCAACAATTCATATAGTACCACATTGAAAGATTTTCGATCATTCACAACAGCAACGAATATGATGAACTACCAACCATTCTGAGAAGATAAGCGCGAGAAAAAGGAGTTAGACTTTAGTAGACATATGGCATGAGGATTAACTAGAGGAAAGTTTCGGTTGTTTTCAGATCTATAGGACAGATAGATCGGAGTGGAACAGAAACCAAAATTCCATTCCAGTAATGCCTTCCTTGTCATTAGGCCACTCCGTGAGTTTCGATGCATGGAAGTATGCACCAGTGAAAAACTGTTGCTGGGGTATCCGGGAGAATTGCTACATGTGGGTTATGCAGTACTATTCAAACAGCGCAAATAGCTCTCAGGCAATAAACACTTCTTATTGGGTCTGATGCCCCGCATCAACATGGACAAATTCCAATAAGAACTCTAATCAATGTATGACGTTATCTTTGTATTTGTATTGTATTTATAGTTTGTCTATTGAGCTTTGCGTGAAGCTATCTGCCCAATAAAGATGAAGAAGAAAATACTTCGCTCTTCAACTCATAAAGGTTTAAGAGATAACATGAATTTGGATTTAAGATGTTAAATCAAGTTTATGTTCGGTTAAATCACTTGCGCGCCGTTGTTAATCAAATTTTAAGTTTCAGTTTTAGATAGTTACTAGAGAATCTGATTACATTGAATTTCGGTTGTTCTCATTTCGTTTCATTTCCTGGAAAATCTGTCCTGTCCGCCACCTCCCTATCGTCTCACAATCATTGCGACGAACATCAAACAATCGAAGAACCTGCTGACTCTACATCGCCTTTGCGGGAGCAGCAGCGTCACACAGTACCACAGCGGGCAAACTCCAATAAGAACTCTAATCAATGTATGACGGTATCTTTGTATTTGTATTGTATTTATAGTTTGCTTATTGAGCTTTGCGTGAAGCTATCTCAATAAAAATGAAGAAAGAAATACTTCGCTCTTCAACTCATAAAGGTTTAAGAGATAACATGAACTTTCATGTTTGGTGTTTTTTCGTATGATTTATAGGTTAATCTAATATATTAACAACAGTCAATAAAGTTGAGCGATTCAAAAGATTTTTTTTCACATGCGTATCATCAAAACACTTTTCTTTAGATTATATTTCGTCGAATGAAAAATTATAATATACTTTGACTATATCAAGTGTGAGAAAGAATAGTAATTTATTTTTACTTATTGATATAAACCATTAAACTTTTATTTTTTCTTTCAAAAACCAGATAATAGAAAGAAAGGGATTCTAAAAACTGTGAGATCCGTTTTTTTGGTTATGAAAGTGCTTTATGAAAACTTGAATATTACAGACAATATACAGAACTTAATGCCACATTTCCCACGTATCCTCTTTCTAGCGACTATTCATGTCGAAGTCTTGCGGTTATTGACAACGTATATCTTAATAAGTTCAAATTAAAAACGTCATTATAAAAGTATTTAAGTGTGATTTTCACTAATAAAAGCAAGTAGCTCACGAGAACCAGACAAATAACTAAACTAAGCCGAAATCAAATCCCCCAGATTGTTTTGACAGAACGTATGATACTACATAATCGGAATGCCTGTGAATGCGACTTCAGGAACTATAACTGGATCATAAGGAGTATAAAATTTGAGTATTAACTGCTTCGTGGTCGGAGGATTACTAAACTCAAAAGATGGTAAAGTAGTATAACAAGGAGGATCACCGCAGGGATTTGAGACTTCGAACGAATCAACGAAATCTATCCGTTTAAGACTATTCGTAAAAACATCTATGTCCGTTGGATCGTGAGTAACATCACCGTAAATTGTAAACGAGAACGATAATATTGTGTAAACTTGATCAAACGCTAATAACAAATTGTTCGGCGAAACACTATCGGCGTACCATACTGTTTGTGTGTCCTGATCGTACACGGACGGTATATCAGGGCCATCATAGGTGTACTGTACAGGGCCATCATAGGTGTGCGGTAAACCCAACCTAGACGGTATGACTGCATTCGCACTTATGATTGTCACCTGTATTGCTAGAAAAAACAATATGAAAAAGACCTTAGAAACTGAACTTGTTTTCTAGCAGTGAAAAGTAATTCAGAATCTTATTTTATTTGTCAACCAGGTTTCTTTCAATCACCGACTCTTCCGCGAATAACCGATAATGTATTCTTTTCCCTTTTTCTATACTTTTTCTTTGCGCACAAGACAAACTGATATGTAATTCATAATCTCTAATAAAAATTCAATCGAAATTATTATGTGTACACAGCTGAGTCGCTGCTGTGAAAACATCTTAATGTGAATACATCTTAAGCAAACTAATAAAACAACCTTCACTTAAAATACTGGCATACGAGATAAGTACTTGAAAAACTGCAACACTACGTGATGCAAATATATTTTAAGATGAAATTACTTTTCGAACTCATTCCAACGCTAGCCACATCTCCCACCCACACACACTGACAAAAATACCTAAATTTGCTATAAGAAACTTCGCGGAAGAGTCGGTTACCCCAAAAGTCGTTCGCCGATTAGTCGTGACACAGGTTTCCTTTACCCATCATTCAACCAAAGTCCAAAACTACTTACGCGGTGCAGTTGTTAATATACTAGTGAATGGTATGATTCCAGTACTAATCGCTAGAACAGCAATAAAAAAACATAAAGAGACAAACATAAAATAGCCATTCATAAATAAAACAAGGCTGTGATTGACCTGGTAAGCCACGGACAAAGTACAAAACCGCTTTCAGTGCGAAAAGCAAAAGGCAGATTAGAAGCCACTTAACGCATATTGACTTCCTCGGAAATTCTGCACATTTTCTTACCAATATGTTACAGAACAGTTTCCCAACTATACAACAGCAATCCTCGTTTAATCAAAAATGAAATGTGCCTACCGAGAGCGGTCGGTGTGCTAGGCAGAGGAGCAAATAACGGTAGAGTGCGCACCCCCCGAATAACTGAAAAAGCTGTTGTTATCACAAAAACAGAAAACACTCATATCTCACATCCGAAGAGAACCATTGAAATCTGCTCCACTAACTAAAGTAATAACCATTGATCATGAGTGCCGTGCTAGTATTAAGATTGCTGCTTTTATAGAAGAAGCACAAAACGTGCTTTTTTAGAAAGATAAACAACTGCAGCCTCAAAAGAACGGTTTATCTGAAAGAAGAAGCCTTTTTTAATAAAACAGGAGAATGAATTTACCTGTTGATTCTGATGTGGAACCGACGACTGTTGTTGTTGCTGAATCAGACGCCGAGGTTGAGGAAGCTAAGCAAGAAAGAAGAAAAATAAACTTGTAAAAATCAAAAAAGCTACACAAAAACATAAAAACACTCATATCTCAAATCCGAAGAGAACCATTGAAATCTGCTACAGTAACTAAAGTTTACACATCACGGCTAAGAAATCGTACCAGAGTAGATTATTAAACATTCGTTAAATAAATTTGTTTACTATTTCGTGATTTCCGGCTGTCAGACTTGATTTCAGCAACTTTTTGCGTAGAGCTGAGAGATCATTTCATCACCCGTTATATTCCCCATTCATTCAAAGAGCAACTGAAACTCTATAAAATATGTTACAATACTGTTTTCCAACTCTGCAATAGCAATCCTCGTTTAATCAGGAATGAAATGTGCCTACCGAGAGCGGCCGATGTGCTACGCAGAGGCGCAAATAACGGTAGGGTGTGCATCCCCCCGAACAATTGAAAAAGCTATTAATATTTTATCCATTATTCCTAGCACAAAAACGTTTTTTATCAATTTCACACTACATCAAAGAGACATTTTCTTTTACACCGTCTAACGTTCTGCTCCTATTTGTGGCTCTAGTGCTAGTCACTATGATAATAGAATAACCATGAATGCGGTGCTAGTATTAAGATTGCTGCTTTTATCCAATCGTCAATACAAAAATGAAAATCTTCAACGAGTAGTCAGAGATATGCATAGAAATGAATAGAAAGATAAACAACTGCAGCCTCAAAAGAACGCTTTATTTGAAAGAAGAAGCCTTTTTTAATAAACCAGGAGAATCAATTTACTTGTTGATTCTGATGTAGTACCGACGGCTGTTGTTGTTGCTGAATCGGACGCCGACGTTGAGGAAGCTAAGGAAGAAAGAAGAAAAATAAACTTGTAAAAATCAAAAAGGCTACACAAAAACAGAAAACACCCATATGTCAAATCCGAAGAGAACCATTGAAACCAAGTGTCGCTGTATTACTACATCCACAAGCGACCGGAGAATAACGAAATTATTACACCGAGGCTGTCACTTATCTCTATTCTCTTGCAAATCTGTATATATTCTGATATTCGTTTGAGATTGTGCAATAATCCATAGTGATAAAACATGGACTATCGAATCATTGATAGCTAGAGTTAGTAAGTGCTGTCAGAACCTTTTTCTGCTCCGCACAGAAGAGTTTTGTCTTTTGTTCTGTTTCGTTTTTCCCAAAGCAGCACTCCAATTTTTTCGGTGTTGGAACTATTTCCTTTATATCTGCATCATGATATGACAGATATTGATTAAGTAGATCAATGTGCCTGGAAAGCCCAGTCGGTAAATGCTTCGTAAGTATATATATAAGATTCTATATATAATATGTATTCTGATACTAAGTGGTCGAGTTGGATTCTCGTAGGCACATATTGTTTTTTACGTTTTTGTATCTAGCTGCAGCGCTCTAAACTAGATGCAGAAACTGTGAAAAAACATCGATGCAAGAGGCGATGCACTGTTAATGCATCGCGCTAAATATCGCCTTTTTTATCGTTTCAATATTCCTGTATTGGTAGGCGATGCACCGCCTCTTGTATCTAGTGCATCGCTTTTACCCGATGCATCTAGATAACTAGACTTTTTTTACTCATTTATCTAGATGCTCCTGCTGGAGCATCGCTAGATGCACCAGCGAATGCATCCACATATTTTTGCTGGACAGGTTTTGCTTGGGTTTTTTAATAAAACAGGGGAATTAATTTACCTGTTGATTCTGATGTGGTATCGACGCCTGTTATTGTTACTGAATCAGACGCCGACGTTGAGGAAGTTAAGCAAGAAAGAAGAAAAATAAACTTGTAAAAATCAAAAAAGCTACACAAAAACAGAAAACACTCATATCTCAAATCCGAAGAGGACCATTGAAATCTGCTCCACTAACTAACGTTTACACATCAAGGCTAAGAAATCGTACAGCAGAATAGTGTTCAATATTTGAGAGCGATAGGACAAAATAGAAGACCCCGGTGTTCTAATGAGTCGAACTAGTAGCGGATGAAAGGCGCAGATAAATGTATATCAAACGATATAATATTACTGTCTGAAGTGACTTTTCTAGCAGTCAAACGGGAAAGAGAAAATTGTAGAGAATTAAATTGTCTATCGTTTGGTATGTAAAGGAAACTATTTTATCAATAGGAAATGATAGAAAAGTGCATTAACATTTAGTGGAATTTATGCTGGGACACCCGTTATATTCCCCATTCATTCAAAGAGCAACTCAAACTCTACAAAATATGTTACAATACAGTTTTCCAACTATGCAACAGCAATCCCCGTTTAATCAGAAATGAAATATGCCTACCGAGAGCGGTCGATATGCTAGGCAGAGGCGCAAATAACTGTACAAAGTATATTACAATACAGTTCTCCGACTAGGTAACAGGAATCAGTTGAAATTAGTTGTTCAGACTGTTCGTTGAAAACAAAGGAGTGCACGATCTTTTTGTAGTGTTTTTTTTCAGTTTGGGGAAATCAACGGCGGTGGTGATCCTAAATGAAGGGTAGTTGCCGGGAGCAGTTGATGGTTTTTTGATCGGGGTATTAGAAGCATTATCAGCCATGATTGAAGGTCTGATATTGATACTGCTGCTCCTAGGTACAAGATGAATATTTGCGTCGAATAACCACAGAAAATGAGCCTAGCCCATTTATTTTGGTACCATAACATTAGTTGTCACTCAAAATGAAATACGGGGCACATGCTGTGCAAAGAAATGATGTGGTCGATCATTTGTTTGCTTAATTCCAAAATGTTAGTAGTTATAGACCGGAGACAGTACGAGCCATGTGAAGTCCAGCGGACCTGGATCGGCATGACTCAGACTTACACTTGGAACGTCAATCTGTGTGATGAACTTGACTTGAACGTATGATCTGTACATCCGGTCCTAACTGAAGTTTTAATTCGCCAGATAACTAATCAGAGTCAGGTCTATATAGATGATTGAATATTCTGATTTTGTGCGAGCAGAGTATTTTTATAAGTTTCACGGATGTAAGGATCATTTGATCCATAATCAGACGTTAGTTTATGATTAGTACCGCTTTTTCGTTTTCGATTGCCTATCTTTAATGTATCGAAAGCAGAACTTCTCGGGGTCAAAGACATGCGATCCAGGTCCAATTTTGTGCAAGATAAGTCACAGGACACAAGTCTCAATATCAGGTCTATCTCGTACGGTCCAGATCTAGATTGTACAAATCCAGTTCCGGATCCAACGCAAAGTTGATCGTCTTTGTGGATTAGAGCGCAGTTCACCAACAATAGGTTTTCCTGGCTTTTGTTAAAAGTTTGACCTTTACTTGTACAGATCACAAGTGAAGGTCCCGTTTTCCTGTCTCTATGATCGACGATAACGGCTATTACCTGAATTTGTTGACCGAGCGCTTAATGTAGAGTTGATTGTCCACATTGTGGTAGCAGTTGTAAAAGTGCTCACTGAAACAAATTAGGGTAGAATTACAAAGATAGCATTTTCAATTTCTTCACTTTTACTGGAAGTAGATGAAGCTTTAGCGCTGTTACCAGATATCGTAGTCGTTGCTAAAGCCGGTTTTGCTTAAACAAAAAACTTAAGAAACCATGTTTCTAAATTCCTGACACGTCTACAGCATACTTAATATAATGTTTGCGAACATGTTTGTGGTTGTCGCGGTGCTTGTAACAACAGCCACAGGCGATGTGGTAGCATTAGGAAATTTGCGCGCTGAAAGGAATAAGAGTAAAATTGAGTGAAATTCACTTTTGTACTCAGTTTCTATTACCCGCTGTTGATGGCATACTGCCACTGGTTGATTCGGTCGTCGTAGTGGTAATAGATAAATCTCTTGCTGAAGAGAGAAAGGAAACTCACATTTTAAACAAAGTTTAAAATCGCTTAAAAAACGCGCTTTAAAATCGCTTATCAATATTGGTGATAGAGACGACAGGCAGCTGCATTCAGTGCGCTTTTGGGTTTTTTAACAAGTTTCGACATACAGAGAATATCAGCAGGACAAAGTCAAACGTTTTAGAGAGAATGTATCCAGATATAGAGACAACGTACTGATAAACAATTCATCCATGCATCATACTTTTTATAGTTGTTATGGACGACGTCGTAGTGACGGTTGTCGTTGATGATGTAACAGATGTTTGGATAACTAATAGAGAGATCAATGGAGCGTCTATATGCTAATTTAAAAATATTACTTACTTGGAGCCGAAAGGAGAAGAACCGTGTAATCATGACTTTCAGTGTACTGGTAAGTATATCCATATAGTACGTTATTTTCAGATAAGATACATGGATCAAGGGTAACAGCGGGCTTCGGAGTAGTTGTACGGGTTGTACGGGTTGTACTAGATATAGACTGACTAGTTTGTTGATTAACAGTAGGATTCCAATTAATACCGCCAATGATACCCCTAAAGTATCCCAATATTAGAGCAAATTGACTCACTTTAGTTAAATCAGTCTGGTTTTAAAAAGCGCATTGAGTTACGTAAGGGCATGTCTTTTCTGACTTCATAGCTGATGCCGATACCTAGTAGAATAACTATTAGTCTTCCGACAAAAATATCGGTTTCAGTACCACTCTCAGTACGAATTGACGAATACCTCGCGATGAATTTCATAACATGTTCTTCCTTCTTCCCAACAAAGCGCTTAAGAGAAACTTCGCCACAGCAGCGACCAAGGTGTCAGGGTAAAAATTTTATTTTATTTCTATTTATGTCTCATTCGAAAGTGCATACAAAATAACCACTAAATCTGCAATAACTGTATCTGAAAGTACTTTTTTAAAAAAAGTAGAGGCCAAACACTCTGTTGAGGCTCACTCTTGTTACCAAAAACCCGTGAATTTTTGCAAATTTTCGTATTTTCCGATTTTGTGAAAAACTATCCAACTTCTATGATTCGTCTATGGCTCATTTGAACGAGAAACGTTTACTCTATAAGATCATGTATTTAGACATAATAATATGCTTAACTATCTAGGACTAAATAGTAGAAAACTAAAACATTCCATATTTTTAAAATTACATTTTTCTCAGTACTTTTTAAATATAGGCCATCCATATGGTGGCCTTTTTAATGTCTTTTTCCATTCCATCCCATATAAGAATAGCCAAGACATATCTGTCCGTCTGTCTGTCTGTCCGGAACGCTCCCAATACACTAAACAGCGCCAATGTATTAGGTAAAACCCAAAACACAAACGACTTAAAAACTTGACC